GAGAATCACTGCCTTAGAGTTTTCTAAGCAGTCTTTACATCCCTCATTTAATCCTCACAATAGCATAAAATAAATTATCAAAGAGACTGTAAGCATAATTCTAATTGAATATTACATTCCAGGCACTTTGCTAAGCAACTTTTATACATCATCTCATTTAATTCTCTCCACAAAATATGATCCGGTATGTACTTGAAAGAAAGATCACTCTTGTCCAGGAGTGGGTCAGTCAGAGTGTCCCGGGTGTCAACTGACACCATCTTTTCATCCTTCAGGTCTGTTCTGGAAGGATGACATCGCCCAGGATGTGATGACCCAAAAGATGGAGCACATCAGCAGACTCCAGCTCCAAGATCCATGTCTGACGGGTGGGAAGGCAGTTTTTCCCACTAAAACCACTGGGGTGAGGTACGTGAGGCCTTTGTCCAGTCCATGCTGTCTGGCAGACAAATGGAAGAGGGAAGGAATGGGTACTAAAACTGCAGATAGGAGCTGCCAGGAGCACTATAAAGAGAATGATTTAGAGGTCCTGTCTGGGATCAGCAGGGAAAAATTCCATGATCCATTAGTGATATCTGTGAAAGGAGGGGAGGTTGGTGTTAGCAAGCCTAGGTCCTATTTGTCATCCTGTCTCTTCCAGGGGCAAGCAAGAGGAGAAACTTCAACTCTTACTCCCCAAGGTGATATTTAGGTGTCTTTTCAAGAATTGTGAATTTCTGACCTTGTATCTCATCACTTTCCCTCTGGGCCCATCTCACCCTTTCTTCCTCTTTCTTGACTCCTGGCAGAGCCCAATGGCCAAGGTGAACAAGCAACAGTGCTTTACTTCCAAAGTGGTCTTGAAGGCCTTGAAACAAGAGGTGGTCAAGCCTGTCAAGGTGAGGGGCTTTCTTTTTCTAGGGAGGTTGGAATCACCAGAGACCTGTTTAAGGGAGGGAGGCAGGTATGAAGGAAGAAATGGGTGTTGAGGTGAGAACAGACAAGCTGAAGAAAAGATTTATTTTCTCAATCAAAGGTTACCCCCACTTTCCTATGTATCTCACAGATTCTCTATGAGTGTCCATATTGGGGGGGGGGCATGATGCAGATGCTGGGAGCCTGCAAGGAAAAAATGATCTATAAGATCGTGCATATGCATTGAGTTGAAAATAGGTATTGAAAACTGCCGAGTTTTCAAAATTAGATTAAATGTCCTCCTTTCACATACAGTCTCTTGTATATAGCAAATAATAGCAAAACTCCCTTGGATAAATGGGAGATGCAGCCAGGAGGACCTCACACTCAGCCTCCCCCTTGCTCTACTCTGTGTCCTGGGCAAGGCTCTGGAGCATCTCCTTGGGATCCTTGAACTCTTCAGAATCCATGTTGGAAACAACCTATCCAGTACTCCCTTCTATCTTTATAGATGAGCAGTTGGGGCCCAGCCTGGTCACAGGACTTACTCAAGGCTGCATAGAGAGTTCATGGCAGAGCCAAGACTAAACCCAGGTCTCCTGATTTCCACCTCTTTCCCCTGCACAGCTCCTGCCCTTCCTCTCTAGGACTGCAGTGGGGGTTGATCTGTTTCAAACATAAGATTTCCTCCACATTG